GCCAAGGCTGTCCAGAGAGGTGGGCGCTGCCCCAGCCCTGGCACCATCCCAGGGGAGGTTGGATGAGCTCTGAGCACCCTGCTCTAGCTGCAGATGTCCCTGTCCCTGCAGGGGGGTTGGAGTTGATGACCTCTAAAGGTCCTTTCCCACCCAAACCACTCTGGGATTCTGGGTTTAGGCAGATGTGCTGGTATTCAATCCCTGCTGTTGTGGAGAGTCTGGATGGAGCCAGGGTGCAAGAGGCAGAGGAAGGTTGCCCATGGCCACAGAGCATCCTGACCTTCTCCTGGGCCCCTTGCCCTCACCCTGCCCATGGTCTGTTCCCCTGGCAGGCCCTGGATGGTTTCTTCTTCGTGGTGAACCGCGAGGGGAGGATCGTCTTTGTCTCCGAGAACGTCACCAGCTACCTGGGTTACAACCAGGAGGAGCTCATGAACACCAGTGTCTACAGCATCCTGCACGTGGGGGACCACGCCGAGTTCGTCAAGAACCTCTTGCCCAAGTCTTTAGGTAAGGGGACACCTGAGGTGGGTGTTATTTGTCAGCTGGTGCTTGAGGAGCTCTGTTGAAAACGCTGGTGGGTCTTCAGGGAAGCTTCAGAGAGGTACCCAAGCAAGGTACCAAGATGTACCAAGCAAGGCAGCAGCCCAGAAACCTTTCCCTTGTGAGAGATGTCCTACCAGGGAGGTATCAACATCAGATCTTTGAATAAATAGCTGGTGATGACAACAGTTGAGTCACCTTCCCTTTGTCTGCCAAGGAAACTTTGACTTTGGCTCATGAGTTGGAGGAACCAACTTGTCTCCCCAAAGCCAGGGGCACACGTAGGAGCTTTTGGGGGATGAGGAGCAAGACTTCAAGGTGTTGATCTGGGGGGACTGAGCCCGTTGGCTTATCCCAGCCCCTGTAGGATGTCCTCCCAGCTGGAGGGGGTGGTCCCCAGCTGGTTTCAGAGCCTGAATATCCAGCCTGAGGATGTGCTGCACCTCATGAAGAGGAAGAGGAGAGGCCCATGGTGCAAGCAAGGAGCTCGTGGTGAAGCCCTACAGCAGGGAAAGCAAGGGGTGGTGGGGTGGGCAAAGACACTTGTGGGGTTCTGGAAGCAACCAAAGCAGGAGGTTTTATTCATTGACTGGAGGTGAGCATCCTCTGGGCAGCTGATGTGGGTGAGACATCCCTGACCCCTCTTTTCTTCACACCTTTGAAGAGCCACAAGAGAAGATGAGCCTTTTTTTGGTAGCTTGACTTAAAAATAGGGTGTTTTCTTTATTTTAATTCACACATATCTTCTGGGAAAAAAATCTAAAAAATCTAATTCTATGGGGACTGCTGAGATTGAACCTACAGAGGTTCAGGCATCATCTTTTCCCCATGGTTATCCAGTTTGAGGGTGGGTATTTTGTCTCTTCTTGGGTGTCATAAGCCCCTCCACTCTTCTGATAGATCAGGGTGAATGAAAGCTTCATGATCTGCTGGTGGCCAAATCACTGGGGTTGCAGATCTTCATCCATGAAGGTGTTGTAGAAGGTTAGAAAAATCAGCCAACTGGGGCCCAGAAGTTTTTAGGGGTCAAAAAAAAACCAGGTTACAGGAAAAATATCAAAGGTTTTTTGCTGTTGTGGTACTAGGAGGTCTCACTGCTGTGAGAGCAACAGGAGAGATGTCCCCCAGGGGTGAGGAGGAGGCAAAGAAAACACTCATTTCTAGAGAGATGCTGAGCTGGACTTGCTGGAGAAGACCCAGGAATGTTGCTTCAGGGGGGTTTCAAGTGCAACAAGAGGCAGGAGCCCTCCCAAGCTTGGGAAGTGACCCCGTGCCTCAGTTTCCCTGCCCATAAGATGGAGCTGTTGGCACCTACCAGCGATGCCAGGAGCAGCTCATGGACATCAGCATGATGACCCATGTCAACGTGTGGGGATTGGAGGTGCTCACAGGGCCTGGTTGGGAGCGTGGGTCTGGACCTGAGGTCTTGAGGAGCCCCCAGGGCTGGTGGGGAGGTCTCAGCAAGCTGCACCCTCCTTCCACCCCATCGCTTCTCCTTCCATCCCCTCATCCGGGGGCTCCTCAGAAAGCCAAGGGCGGGGGGAACACATGGCCAACACGACTCCTCCCAACCCCTCTCCTCCTCCTTTCTCCTTCCCCCAGTGAACGGGGTCCCTTGGCCTCAGGAGGCCAGCAGAAGGAGCAGCCACACCTTCAGCTGCAGGATGCTGACCCGGCCCCCCGACGAGCCGGGCGCTGAGAACCAGGAGGCTCGGCAGCGCTACGAGGTGATGCAGTGCTTCACTGTCTCCCAGCCCAAGTCCTTCAAGGAGGAAGGAGAAGGTAAGGAGAGCATCACTCTGCCTCCCAGCCCGCCCTCAGCACGGGGAGGGCAGGAGGAAAGGGTGGGCTTGGGGGTGAAGGCAGGAGGGGGAGTAAGGTGGGGACCAGCTCGAGCCACCAGCAGCAGAACAAAAGTGACCCCAGGGCTGGAGCAGCTCTGCTGGGAGCACAGGCTGAGGGAGTTGGGGCTGTGCAGCCTGGAGAAGAGAAGGCTCTGGGGGGACCTCATAGAGACCTTCCAGTAACCTGAGAGGGGCCTGGAAGGCAGCAGGGGAAGACCTGACCTCAAGGGTGTGTGGTGACAGGATGAGGGGTGATGGCTTTGAGCTAGAAAAGGGCAGATTTAGGTTAGATGTGAGGGAAAGATCCAATCTGAGGGTGACAGACCACTGGAATAGGTTGCCCAGAGAGGTGGTGGAGGCCCCATCCCTGGGGACATTCAAGCTCAGGCTGGATGAAGCTCTGAGCAGCTTGATCTAGTTGAAGATGTCCCTGCTTGTGGCAGGGGGGTTGGACTGGATGAGCTTTGGAGGTCCCTCCAGCCCAGACCTTCTGTGATTCTATGCCCAGGTCAGGCAGGAGGAGGACTGGGGTGGAGACAGCAGTGCAGGCAGGAGGAGGAGCAGGGTGGCCATGGCTGGGAGGAGGAGGAGTGGGATGGGGATGGGTGTGCAGGCAGGGGGGGAGGACTGGGATGGAGGCAGCAGCGCAGGCAGGAGAAGGAGCAAAGTGAGGACCAGAGGAGGAGGAGGAGGAGGGTGGGGATGGTAGTGGAGGCAGGAGGATGACCAGCCAGCACCCCCAAGGGTTGTTTGGTGGGGTTGGTTATTCCTGGCCTGGTGCAGACAATGCCCAGCACAGGGGAGATGCATGAAGTTCACTGGGGCTTCTTGCTCCTCTTCCCCTCTGAGCCAATGCCCTCCAGCCATCCCAAGTGGATGCTCTCCAGCCATCCTGGGCTGAAGCTCTCCAGCCATCCTGGGCTGAAGCTCTCCAGCCACCCCAGGCTGAAGCTCTCCAGCCACCCCAGCCTGAAGCTCTCCAGCCATCCCAGCTTCCCTGGCTCACACGTTTTGGGGCTGGAAGGGCTGTGGGCAGGCAGATCTCTGCTGGGGGCCGGGCAGGATTCCCTCAGTGCCGTGGGGCCATTCCCCTCCTGTCCTCACTCTCCTCTCCGTGTCCCAGCTATTATTTTCCAGCACATTAGCTGGATTAATCCTCTGCAGCTTCCACAGGAGATCATGACTGGAAGGAATAAATTATGGTGTTTTATGACCAAAGACGTTGCCTGAAGCCGACAGTTGCTGGCTTTTAGCACTGACTTTTATTGGCCAGCACTGCCAGATCTCAGAAGTCTTTACAATTAATTACTCCAAACACTGGAAACCCCTTTTCCAGCAAATTTTATAGAGTTCAGACAGAGCCTGTTGGCTGGGAGGAGCTGGAGGATGGCTGGGAGGAAAGGCTCCCAGGGCAGGCTGGGAGAATCGAGCCCCGTGGGGGGGGTTTTAATCAAGGTGTGGGATGGTTCAGGGGCAGTTTCACAGCCCTGGTGTCTTCTCCTGGGGCAGATTTCCAGTCCTGTCTGATCTGCATTGCCAGGAGGCTGCCCCGGCCGGCAGCTGTCACCGCCTCCGAGTCCTTTGTCA